AAAACTGTAAGCAAGAATCTTTAATAAATACTAAACCGTAGAGTAAAAAGTAGAGGAAAAATAGGATATTCACATGGTGCCCAATATTAGCCATAGACTGCTAATTGTAAATGGAGAGATGTATCTTTATAAAAAGAGGTCTGGCTGGTGTGGTGGCTGGCTTCTATAGTGTAGCTACTTGGGAGGTTGAGATGGGAGGATCATTTGAGGTCAGGTCAGGAGTTCAAGGATGCAGTGAGCTGTGATCACACCACTGTACTCTAGCCTTAGTGATAGAGTGAGACTACTCCTCTTTAATGAAAAAAGAAGAGGGGGATGGGGGTAAGGTGGGGTCTGGCTGTTAACATCTCAACCAAGTGGTCATATTTTCACTAAATGATTACTAGTGGTGTTACTGTCTAAGAATGTGCATTACCTGATGCACCCCATCATGAGGTTCATAGTTAGCATCAACTCTAAAGCATTCTTACCAAAATCATTTAAAGGAAACTAAATATAATCAAGACTTTATACCTAACTACTGTTTATAGGAAGTGTAAAGGATAGAGAGGCAAGTTAAATGGCATTGTGATGAAGCAATCAGGTAAGTCTAGGATGTAAGACAAGTCAACCGTCCTGGTCTTTTTAAGAAGCTAGTGTTGTTAAAGGGTGGTGACTGTGGCTCAGTGGGTAGGGCGCTGGCCCCAATACCAAGGGTAGAGGGTTCAAACCTGGCCCTGGCCAAACTGCAACAAAAAAATAGCTGGGCGTTATGGCGGGCACCTGTGGTCCCAGCTACTTGAGAGGCTGAGGCAAGAGAATTGGTTAAGCCCAGGAGTTAGAGATTGCTATAAGCTGTGTGACGCCATAGCACTCTACTGAGGGCGAGAAAGTGAGACTCTGTCTATATAAACAAATAAATAAATAAGCATAAATAAAAATTTAGAGTCCTTTCTACAATAAAGGAAACTAAAGAGAGAAAATTCAGGATTTTGGATTGTTAAAATCAACCATTAACATTTTTTACACATTTGGGGAAATTCAAATGAGGACCATTAGATGATAATTGGTATGATAATGGTATCATGGTTATGAAGTAGAAAGTCCTTCCTAGGAGATACATAATGATATATATAGGGTTAGTGTCATGATGCCTGCTGAAATATTTCCAAAGAAAGTAAGAAAAAACCTGAATGGGCGGGTGCAGTGGTTCACACCTGTAATCCAAGCTGTCTGGGAGGCTGAGGCAGGTAGATTGTTTGAGCTCAGGAGTTCAAGACCAGCCTGCACAAGAGGGAGTCCCCGTCTTCATTAAAAATAACCTGGCTAGGTGGTGCCTATGGCTCAGTGGGTAGGGTGCCGGCCCCATATACTGAGGGTGGCAGGTTCAAACCCGGTCCCGGTCAAACTGCAACAAAAAATAGCCGGGTATTGTGGTCGGCACCTGTAGTCCCAGCTGCTTGGGCGGCTGAGGCAAGAGAATCTCCTAGGCCCAGGAGTTGGAGGTTGCTGTGAGCTGTGATGCCACATCACTCTACCAAGGGTGATAAAGTGATACTGTCTCTACAAAAAACAAACAAAAAAACCCCCTGGCTTTGGGGTGGATACCTGTACTCCCAGCTTCTCAGGAGGCTGAGGCAAAAGAAACTTTTTTTTTGAAACAGAGCCTCAAGCTATTGCTCTGAGTGGAGTGCTCTGGTGTCACAGCTCACAGCAACCTCTAACTCCTGGGCTTAAGCGAATCTCTTGCCTCAGCCTCCTGAGTAGCTGAGACTGTAGGCGCCCACCACAACACCTGGCTATTTTTTTTTTTTTTAAGAGACAGAGTCTTACTTTCTCACCCTTGGTAGAGTGCAGTGATGTCACAGCTCACAGCAACCTCCAATTCCTGGGCTTAGGCAATTCTCTTGCCTCAGCCTCCCAAGCAGTTGGGACTACAGGTGCCCACCACAATGCCTGGCTATTGTTGCGGTTTGGCTGGGGCTGGGTTTGAAACTGGCACCATTAGTATATGGGGCCAGCGCCCTACCCACTGAGCCACAGGCACCGCCCCTATTTTTTGGTTGTAGTTGTCATTGTTTGGCAGGCCCATACTGGATTCAAACCTGCCAGCTCTGGTGTATGTGGCTGGCACCTTAGCTACTTGAGCTATAGGCGCTGAGCCAAGAGGTACTCTTGAGCCTAAGAGTTCGAGGTTGCTGTGAGCTATGACTCCATAGCACTCTACCCAGGGCAATGAATGAGTCTCTTCTCTCAAAACAAAACAATACAAAACAACAACCTGAATGTAACCATACCTCTCTCTATCCATGGAGTGAGAGAGAACAAATTTGGCAAAATGTTAATTCTGGGTAGTGAATATTGTGTGTTTGTTGCACTAGTTCTCTTTTTTCCTTCTGTATATATGTATATATATATTTTTGAGTCAGAGCCTCAAGCTATCTCCCTGGGTAGAGAGAGTGCCGTGACGTCACTGCTCACAGCAATCTCCAACAACTCCTGGGCTCAAGCGAGTCTCCTGCCTCAGCCTCCCGAGTAGCTGGGACCATGGGCGCCCACCACAACTCCCGGCTATGTTTTGGTTGCAGCTGTCATTGTTTTTGGCGAGCCTGGGCTGGATTCGAACCTGCCACCTCAGGTGTATGTGGCTGGTGCCTTAACCACTTGAGCCACAGGCACTGAGCCATTCCTTCTGTATATTTAAGAATGTTCCTAAGATAGTTGAAGAAACAATTCTGTAGTGAATCACATTATGCATGCATAAACAAATGTATTCTTTTGAAAGTCTATTTTATTGGGACACACATTTCATTGATTAGAAGAACCACAGTTTGCACACACACACAAAATGCACATGTGTGTATTTTGGTGCCAGTTGACACTTCGAAAAAATTTAAATTTTGTAGTGAAGTTTTCTGCCTTTAAGACTTGTAGTGGATGAGAAAAGGACGTGCTTTTTTACTCTTTGCCTTCTTTGCCCTCTACTCTGGAACTTTAGTGGAGAAGAGAAAAAGTGAATAATATACTTCCCAATAGTCAATATGCACTTACTCTTTTTATTTTATTTATTTATTTATTTATTTATTTATTTATTTATTTTTGAGACAGGGCCTCAAGCTATCCCCCTGGGCAGAGTGCCGTAGCATTACAGCTCACAGCAACCTTCAACTCCTGGGCTCAAGCGAGTCTCCTGCCTCTGCCTCCCAAGTAGCTGGGACCACAGGTGCCCGCCACAACGCCCGGCTATTTTTTGGTTGCAGCCATCATTGTTGTTTGGCGGGTCCGGGCTGGATTCGAACTCGCCACCTTAGGTGTACGTGGCTGGTGCCTTATCTGGTTGAGCTATAGGCGCCGAGCCACACTTACTCTTTTTATTTATTTATTTATAAGTGTAGGGTGCTGTTCTTTTTGGAGGGGGGTAGAATTTTATTTTGTTTTTCAAAATGTTATAGGGGTACAGATGTTTTGGTTACTTGCACTACTTTTTGTACAGTTTGAGTCAAGATTATAATGGTGTATATCTGCCAGACAGTGTGTATCATGCATTTGCTTTTAGGTAGGAGATTGAATTGCTGCTGCTGTACAGAAGAACCATACCTGAAGTAGCACATCTTTTTAAAATTGGTTATGTATCAGTCTGGGCACGTGGCTCACGCCTATAATCCTAGCACTCTGGGAGGCCCAGACAGGTAGATTGCCTGACCTCGTGGGTTTGAGACTAGCCTCAGCAGCCGCAAGATCCCATCTCTAAAACAAATAGCCAGGCATTGTGGCAGGTGCCTGTAGTCCCAGCTACTCTGGAGGCTGAGACAAGAGAATTGCTTGAGCCCAAGAGTTTGAGGTTGCTGTGAGCTGTGACACTATGATACTCTACAGAGGGTAAAAAAGTGAGACTCTATCTAAAAAATAAAATAAAATAAAATTGGTTATGCGTCCTTTAGTTTGAATGCTACCCAAAGAATAAGCCATGGGGCAGCACCTCTGCAGCATCTGAAAATTTTTAGATGTCTTTATTTTATTTATTTATTCAAGACAGTCTCACTTTGTCCACCTTGGTAGAGTGCTTGTGGCGTCATAGTTCACAGCAACCTCAAATCTTGGGCTCAAGCAATCCTCTTGCCTCAGCCTCCTGAGTAGCTGGGAATACAGGTATCTGCCATAACACCCGGCTATTTGGTCTCTCTCTTGCTCAGGCTGGTCTTGAACCCATGAGCTCAGGCAATCCACCCAGCTCGGCCTCCCAGAGTGCTAGGGATTAGAGGTGTGAGCCACCACACCTAGTGCAGATGTTTTTATTAGTAGCAAAAGTTCTTCATGCTTGATAAAAGAATGACAAGAGAATAATTGCTCCTGAAAATGATGTGTTCTTTAGGTATAAGGTTGAGCTATGGAGGATATGAGAGTATATGAAATATGTTTGGAAGAAAAATTCTGGGAGAAGGATTTTTTTTGAGATAGAGTCTCACTAATGCCTGGCTATTTTTATTTTTATTTTTATTTTTTGTAGTTGTTGTTTTAGCAGGCCCGGGCCAGGTTCAGACCTGCCAGCCCTGGTACATGTGGCTGGTGACCTAACCACTGAGCTACCAGCACTGAGCCCCCCCCCCCCCCCCCCCCCCCCCCCCCCGCTTTGAGACCAGGTTTCACTTTTTTGCCTCCAATACAGTGCCATGGTATCATAGCTCACATCAACCTTAGACTCTTGGGCTCAAGCAATTCTCTTGCCTCGGCCTCCCAAGTAGCTGGGACTACAGGTGTCCATCACAATACCCAACTATTTTCAGAGACAAGGTCTCGCTCTTGCTGAGGTTGGTCTTGAACCTGTGAGCTTAGATAATCCTCCCACAGTGCTGGGATTACAGGCATGTGCCACGTGCCTGGCCTGGAGAAGGATCTTTTCTGAGAAAATATCATTGAGTAGGAAAAGAATACTTTCCTCTTAGAGCTAGAATTGTATTTGTAGTGGGAACCTTCTCTGGTTGCAGAATAGATGTTCTTTGACATTATTTTCCATTCCTTAGATTTCCATGAGGACAACTTGCAACGACCTGAATGGCCTCATTTTAGCTGCTTCAGTGTGTGGAGCTATTACTTGCTCCTTCATTTCCTAGTCCTGGTGTGACAGTGACTACTGATCACCATGAAGGTTGTTTCAGAGAAGAATGCTGTCCGGATACTCTGGGGGCGAGAACGGGGCACTCGGGCCATGGGAGCTCAGCGGCTTCTGCAGGAACTAGTGGAAGATAAAACCCGGTGGATGAAATGGGAGGGCAAGGTAAGAAAAATGAGTATGCTTTTTTTTTTTTGAGACAGATTCTCAAGCTGTTGCCCTGAGTAGTGTGCTGTGTTGTCATAGCTCATAGCAACTTCCAACTCTTGGGCTTAAGCAATCCTCTTGCCTCAGTTTTTCTATTTTTAGTAGGGACGGGGATCTCACTCTTGCTCACGCTGGTCTTAAACTCCTGAGCTCAAGCAGTTTACCCGCCTCAGCCTCCCAGAGTGCTAGGATTATAGGCGTGAGGCACCATGTCCAAGCAGACAGAAAAATGAGTATTTTTGATACATGATGGTAGAGTGGGACCTTGGAGTGGATTAATGGCAGAGAATTGGGATATATTTATCTTCTGTGTGAGAATGGACATATCTGACTTAAGGAATCATTTATAAATTTGGAAGAATTTATGGGTTAGAAATATCTTTTTCTTTTAGAGCTAGACATTTTTCTTGAAGGTAATTTCGATTTATCTCTCTCAATTTGTAGTTTGATCATTGTCTCCAATTTTTAAGTCTATGCTGTGAATACTAATCTGGAATGCTTTATGTGCTTTTGAGATAGGGTGAGCCAAAGTTTATAAATAATGTATTTTAACTTTTTTTTTTTTTTGTCTCCTAGAGAGTAGAACTACCAGATAGTCCACGCTCTACCTTTTTGCTGGCTTTCAGCCCAGACAGGTACCTAGTACTTATCTATAAATTAACCTTAAGATTTGTGATAGCATTGGCTTTTGTATATTTTGTTTAGCTTGATCTTCTAGTCAAGTCCTAAAGGTTCTCTGAAGTATTGTGTGAACAGAGCTTTGTCAGTGTGTCAGAAAGGGAAAGTCAGTAGGTGAGCAGCAATAACCAGAAAAATAATAGGAATAAGCAAAAGAAACTCTGCACATTGAGAATTAAAACTTGTAAAGTTTCTTAGTAACAATCCTTTGCCTGTGATATAGGCCACCAATGACGTGATAGTTTTCCAAACTGGAAAAAAATATTTTCTGAAGGGGATGTGTTATTTAAGGGCAATGTGAAGAAGCCAAAAGCTTTGGAAGATCAGAATATTTCTGTTGTTTGTAGATATGCTGCCTTATACATAAGGTTTAGTTTTATCATGTTGGGATGGGAAATAGTAGCAATTTTCTGTTTGTCCAAAGGTGATAAATTTGCTTACCCTCCAACGTATTTCTGAATTCACTTCTACTTTTGGATTTTCTAGGACTCTCTTGGCCTCCACCCATGTGAATCATAATATCTATATTACGGAGGTGAAGACTGGCAAGTGTGTTCATTCTCTGATTGGACACCGCCGCACTCCATGGTGTGTCACGTTTCATCCCACCATTTCAGGCCTTATTGCTTCCGGCTGCTTAGATGGGGAGGTTAGAATTTGGGATTTACATGTAAGTATTTCCTTAGATTGCCCTTTTCTTTGGTATTTTAAATGTAGAGACTGCCTTACCTCTGGCTTCTTAACTCTGGAAAAAAGCCTAGCCAGATTCTTAGGACTATCCCTAATGGTGTGATAGTCATCACCCATTTAATTAATAGGAAGTCTGGTCCATACACAGTCTTCCATTCTAAGGTGAATACTCTATTTATTCTTCTATCTGCCCATTGTAGTAATATAATAGAAGAGGCTCTGAGATGTGCTCAGGATGGATTTCTATCATCCTAGGGCAAAGATTATCCTGTACTCTGATTGTGATTGTCAAAGCAAGATGCTTTGTTTCCTGGTGACCGGCCAGTAGATTGTTCTGCACCGTGTTGTATACCAAGGTTGAGTTTTCGTGGGCTTTAGAAATAGGAATTATGCATATGTTCATTGCCTAGGGATTGTAAATGACTTGAAGAATTGAGCTGAAAGTAATGTTTGTTTGATAAGTTAATGGCACTGCCTGATCACTGATTTCCTACATCATTTACAGAGAACATATTTAAAATAGACCCTATAAGTACTCATTTTACCTTCAGTGGACCTTTTGTGAAGTTGACTTTCCTATCTGTTGGCAACTTGTAACCTAAGAATATTTGGGATTGGTTCATTCATAGGGTGGCAGTGAAAGCTGGTTCACAGATAGCAACAATGCCATTGCCTCCCTGGCTTTCCACCCTACGGCTCAGCTCCTGCTGATTGCCACTGCCAATGAGATCCACTTCTGGGACTGGAGTCGACGGGAGCCTTTTGCTGTAGTGAAAACAGCTAGTGAGATGGAACGCGTCCGGTGAGTACTCTACCCCACTAGCATTGTCTGGCACAGGACTGACATGGGAGAGGACATTTACACCTGCTGTCACATCAGAAGGCAGGTCGTTATCTCTGCTCAGGGCAGATTGTTATCCCCACGGTTTCTCCTATATAGTCAGGTGGCTCAATCAGCTTGGAAGCAGTTCATTTTGTTCATTTTAGCTGTCCCTTATTGGCCTCGTTGTCTGGTCTCTGTAGACCTGGGACATGAGAATGTTCATTAGGTTCAAAGCTAACTGCATTTGGGATACCCTTCATTGGGGAAACCTGAAAAGTTTGGGTGGTATTTTAGATAGTGCAGTCGGTAAGTTCTCATGCTTGCTTATCTGTGTTAATCACACTGGAAGATAGAGATGTAGGCACATAGCAATCTGCTAGTTGATATTTATTTAGTCCTCTAGATCAAAATGCATATTGCCTTAAAGTTGATGCATTGTCTTCCTTTGCTCCTCTTGGTATTTCAATTAAATATAGGTTAATTTTCTACTTTTAGCTATGTCACTTGATGCTGATGCTGTTCATTATCAACAGAACCATGTCTGCATCTTGCCAGTGTGGCTGTGATGTGACAGAAGAACTGAATTTGTGTTAGAATATGGAACATTTAATGCTTTACAATTAGAATGGGCTCTTTTTTTTTTTTTTTT